AGATGAAGGGATAAAACAGATCGCAATCAGTTGAGGATTCAATTTTCAATCGATTGGCAACCGTTTCATCCCTTCGTCCTCATTAGGGAAGGAGAAATTGATTGTTATATTAAGGGCAGGATTCCGCCGCCCGTCGGCGTTTCGAACTGCGGTAGGTTTCCCTCACCTACTCGACAGCGAACATCACCGTTCGCTCCGCCTTCCGATTCCCCCATACGCGTTCCCCCCCCACTCTGCGCCGTTATCGACGCTCTCACACGCTCCCTGTTTTACTTACAGGTACGTACTCAAAATTAGTTCTGCGCCACCGCTACGAAATTTTGCGGTTGAAGCGTTTCCATAGGCGCTAGCAATCTCCCTTATAATCTCTGCTGCCGTGATCAGTTCGCATCAGCTACTAATGCGCGTTCAAAATATTAACCTTACTTCCAGCGAAAATCTAAGGCCTATTTACGTAGTGACATTGTGCTTCTCATTTCTCTTATAATATTAATTATATTGACCCGCAAATATGTGGAGAGTTTTATAGTGAGAACCTCAAAATGACCCTCAGGCTATTTCGAACATTCACCGTGCAACTTATACACAGGAGGTTTTATAAAAAGCAACCTGTCAGAGTGAGATTTGCACCAAGTCCAACAGGCAAGGGATTTTCGATAATTTGCTCATCAATGTGAATTCAACGTAAATGTTTCATTTTTTTTTAAATTTTAGGACAACTACACCTTGGGGGATTACGAACAGCTTTATACAACTATTTATTTGCACGTCAGAATGGTGGATCTTTTATATTGCGAATTGAAGATACAGATCAAACTAGATTGGAAGTGAGAGCAATGGAGAAGCTTCAAGAAGATCTCTTATGGACAGGAATTATTCCGGACGAGGGTCCAACGACCGGTGGACCTAACGGTCCGTATATTCAATCAAAACGGCTGAATCTTTACCGGTAAGCCGGCGTGTGATTCTATTTCAAACCATTAGAAGTTTTGATTAAGAGGATACGTTGGTGAAATTTGAAAATTTTCACTGGGCCCTGAGACCCATTGAACAGTTTCTGATATATGACAGAATGTGGGAATAACTAGGGAAAGTCGCGGACCCGATCGATTTTACCCCGTATAACCACGAAAAAGTTTTTTTTCCTATTTTTACCTTCAAAATACTCCTTGCACCGTAGTTTTTATCCGATTTTAGCTTTTGTTTTCAATGTTCGTTATACTTCAAAGAATAAAGTTAAGCATATTCGCAATCGACCATGTATAAGTGACTTTTGAATTTCATAAATTTTTCGCGTTTCTAGAGTAGAGTAAAATTTATGAAATTCAAAATTCATTTATTAATTTCCCGGGCAGGGAAGTTATTGTAATGCCCCCGAAAATGAAAAATCGATTTTCCATGATATCTCCACGTTTCAAGGTGTTTCTAATGTTCCTCGATAGTTTTTAACAAAATGTCTGTGGGGGTGTGTTTTTTTTTTTTGGGTTCATGAATGGAAAAATGCTCTTTACGCACTAACACACTCCAGACGGGTGGTGTCTGAAGTGTAGTGTCCGAGTCGGTCAGGTCTAGATGGTAGCGACCACGAGCAAGTATCTGCTCGGCGAATGTACAACCCATACGGACTAAAAAAACGAACATGACCCTAATAATCATTGACCTTTTCTTCCCCTCGCGGCACCACCGTTAAGTATTACTTCGCGAGGGAGGTCTCAGCCATTTGCTCTTCCTTATTCCAACCTTATGTACGTCCTCCTAGCCTACAAAGATGTTGGGTGTAGGTAGGAGGTTCCAGTAGGTTTTCCGCCTGTGTTGCAGCCTTGCGCTCGCGTTCCTCTTTCCTGAGCTCTTTTATGACTTCAGCCGCAAAGTGACTCGTTGCGTCCCAAGCTGCCTGCGATGATAGTAATACATCCGTTAGATTTTCAGGCAGTACTTCCATTTTTAGTATGGACACCCAGATATGCCTGGTCTCGCTGAAACGCGGGCATGCGAAGAACATATGCTCCGCATCATCATCCACTTCTGGGCAGGTTGGACATTTCGAGGAATCTTCATGCTTGAATTTATGAAGATACGGTCTAAAGCATCCGTGCCCAGAAAGCATCTGCGTCAGGTAGTAGTTCACCTCCCCGTGTCCGCGATTTAGCCAGACATCCACTTTAGGGATCAGGCGATGAGTCCGTCTCCCCTTGGTGGAGTTGTTCCACTTCAACTGCCATCGCCTTAGGTTGTTTCGCCTTTTTTCAGACGTCAACTCCTCGGGACTCAGCACTTCGGATCTTCTACGCTCATACAGAGCTTTCCGCTCCTCAGCCAAAATCTCGATCGGCAACATTCCTGCGATGACACACACTGCGTCCTCAGAAACCGTCCGATATGCACTTGCGACTCTAAGGGCACTGAGTCGATAGACTGGTGCGATCTTACGTCGTGCTTCCTGTAGTTGTAGGACAGTTCCCCAGATGGGGA